GAAAAAACTCATGTCTTTTTACTAAAATTTTAGATATAATTTTTTATTTCAGAACGATTTAGGTATGTTAAAACAAGACATGTATTTCATTTCATCAAATAAAAATAATAATGAACCATTTTACTACTTTCGATGCTACTACTTCTGTCGCCAAAGGAAACGAATTCGAATTTCAAGTTTTTAGGGCACTTAGAAGTATGGATATCGATTGTCAAAGAATAAGGTGAGAAATTATTTCACTAAGCTATTGTTTAGTCATTATGTATCTGAAGGTACGCTGCCACTAGGAAATATGATAACAAAGAACTGGAAGCGCTTCGTGGCCCAGGTAGCTATTTGACTGAGATAGCCATGCCTGTGAACGTCCTTCTTTGTTTTATCATATTTTTCCGAAAAGCTAATGTGTATTCTGCCTACACGACGCCATTGATTGACTTCTGGGGCCTGTGGTGAATAGGATACATGAATAAATGTTATGAAAATTTCAGTTGTTCATCGCATTTTTCTTGATGATAATGAGACACTTGCTTATTATAATATTTATTATATAGATTAACTAATGGTGACGGTGGCATTGATATTTTCGGAAATTATAAAGAACATGTAATACTGGTCCAATGCAAGAATTATTTAACTGCAAAGATTGGTGTTGGTGAAATAAGTGCTTTCGAAGGAGTTATGTCAAGATATCCTATGAATACTACAATCGGAATTTTCGTGTCATCAGCTGAGATTGGTTACTCAAGATCTGCTATTGAAAGAGCGAAACTATCAAAATATAACATATTATTAACGAATTTTCTTGATATGTTACAAGACATTCCAAGCTGCCTATCCGAAAATCTTAAGGAAGATTCCACTGAAGAGAAATTTAATGAGATGAAAGAATTGATTTCGGAACTCGATCAAAACCAAAAAAAAAATGATAGATGACCAAAGAAAACTCGTAAGAAAAATCGAAATTGATCAAGTTAAAACAAAAAATAATCAAATTAGAATAGAAAATAATCAAACTAAAATTCTAATATTATTATTTGTTCTTATTATAGTATTGTTAATAAAAATTTGATATTTTAGAACTTGCGTTTGATTATAATTATAAAAATTTTCAGAATATTTACCGATAGGTTTCGTTTTACAGTTCTTTCTCGTGTATTTCATGACTTTAATACATATAAGAATTAAATAACACATTTTCTCAAGTCAAGGTCACGTGTAAAGTAGTTTTGATAGTCTTTTGATTACAGAAAAAATATTAATCGCTTTTTCGTAAAGATTAATTATCTGTTTATTAGAGGGCGGTGGTATCACGGTCATATCACCTGATAGTTTCATTTGAATTGCTTCGAGATAATTAAATTTAGTGTCGGAACGATCGGTAACTTTGTCCGCTTATTGTCTTCAATATTTGATTCATTTAGCTGATGAGTGAGGAGATTTTTTGTATATCCCTGCAATGCTATGGTCTATTTCAATACTATAATTTTCCGTTTAATTCATTCATTAATGTGACATCTCGATATATTCGGTTTAAAAGAGAGAAGAATCACTTTCTTTTTGTAAGGGTGATGTACCTCACTTGAATGCACATTAATTAGTATTAAAGTTTTAAAATTGTACCTTTCTTGAAAAATCCAATACAAAAAAATTAACAAATTTCTGTCAATATTTAAAAATAAAATGCCAAAAAAAAAAAACTCATGGTAAATTTGCAAAATTGTTATGCGGATAATATCAATTTTATATCTAAAATTTTATTATTAAATCACCGTGTAGTATTGGCTAAAGCACCCAGAATCTTTAACAATTCCAGCGAGTAATACAATATCTACAATATAACCACACTTTATAATTAACTCAATTGGAATCTCTATTGAATTGTTAAATTACTACAATATAATTAATTTATATAAAAGTCAAGAAATCTCCACGCTAAATACTGTAGATTCCGCGTTTTAGATAGATACGTATTTATTTATTCTATAAAGATTATTTTTATAATTAATTTTTCAAATCAAAACTTCGTTTGATTTAACTTAGGCCGATGACCAGAATAAGATTATGATCAAAAACGGTAGTCTGGCCAGACGGGAGATCCAAATCTGACCAGACGAAATGAAGATCGTAAAGTCTGGTCAGACAACAGATCATCTGTCTGGTCAGACTAAGCTGAACAGATGAAGATCGTAAAGTTTAAAATTTTTAATATTAACTATTGTATTTTAATAAATATATATAAATTTTATTTTCTATTTCGATAAAAATATTATATACAATAAAACAATGGAAATAAAAGAGATTAAAAAATATTTACATGAAAAATGAATAATTCTCAACCCGCGACGAATTTTATAAGATCTGTACATAAATTTTCATAATCTGTTTAAATACTGAAATTTTAGCATTTATTAATTTTTATTATTATAATATTTCAATTTTTTATAGATTAATTGTTTTTATTTATTTATTTATTTATTTATTATTTTTTCAAATAATTATATCTTTAATTAATTATCTTATTTATATCACTTAATATTTCAATTTTATTGTTAGTTGTATTGTAACTTATTAAGAAAAAATGAAAATTTATCAGATTATTTTAGGGTTATTAATGTTTTGAATATTAAGAAAAATTGATTCAATTGTGAAAACAACTGTTTAGACTGTATAAAAAATATCAAAAACAACAATTTTAGTTTTATAATTAAAAATATTAAAATTAATAATTTAATTTTATAATCAAAAACCTTTAAGTAAATTTAAATAAGATAATTGTATATTTATTTTAAAAAATTATTATAAAAAGAAATTAATAATTATTTAAAAATAGAATAAAATTTTTTCTACATAATTAAATTTAATAAATTTATATATATTTCATTAGTATTTGTTTATAAATAAATTATAAATATTTTTTATAAATTAAAATAGCAACTTTTATTTATATTATTATTACATATGTAACAATTACTACCAAATATGAACTATTAAAGATTATCTACTTATAAGAGAAAATTAAAACAATTTTAGGTATCAATGAAAAGCAAAAAAGAATCTATTGAATAAGCATATGGAGATTAATTAAATACTCCAATCTCCTGTCAATTCTTTTAAAGCTTGGATTACTCCAAAATATTTAACATCTACTAATAGCGATTATTACTTATTAAAAGACTCTTAAGTGAAAATGAAGCATATAATAAAGTGCCAATATTTGATGTATTTTTAATTTAAAAAGTCAAACCATCTGGTCAGACCATATTAATTTATTATTTTAGTCTGACCAGACTTTATGATCTTCATTTCGTCAAGTAGATTTTTGATCTATAGTCTGACCAGACTACCATTTAATCGGACTATGTCATCAGAGCCAAAACTTTTTAAATCAAAGTTTTGATTTGAAAAACTTGATTATAAAAAATTATTAATCTTGATAGAATAAATATTCATATAAAACGTGGCATCTATTTAGCGTTGAGATTCCTTGACTATATAAAATTATTTATATTGTAATAATTGAACAATTCAATATAAATTGTAATTGAGTTAATTCATCAATTGTATAAATTAAAGTGTGATTATATTGTAGATATTGTATTACTTGCAGGAATAGTTAAAGATTCTGAATGCTTTAACCAATATTACACGATGATTTAATAATAAGATTTTAGATATAGAATTGATATTTTCTGTATAACAATCTTGTAAATTTTATCGTGAGTTATTTTCTACTTTCTATTTATAAACGTTTTTTTTATTGAGGTTTTCAAGAAAGGTACAAAAACCAATTGTAAATATTTTGATGTAGAAATTTTTTGAAGACTTTAATACTAATTAATATGTATTCAAGTGAGGGTACACACTCTTACAAACAGAAAGTGATTCTTCATTCTTGCAAACCTAATATATAGATGCTATTGAAAATTTAAATTTTATGAAAAATTACATAGTATTTAAACAGACATAAATATCATTTTAGCTTTGTAGGTGGGAATATACAAAAAATCACTTTACAAATCATCTAATATTGAAAACAAAGTTACCAATCTTTTTGAGCATAACACTGATTAGTTTGTAAGGTGTTCATTATTAAATTTATTACTTATAAAATGTATAAACTAAATATATATATCTACTATATCCAGTAATATAATCTTCCTGTTATTACATTATATTTTAATACAAACAGAAATGAATAAAATAAATAATAATAGTATAATAAAAATAAAAAATTTAGGATTTTGGTTTGATTTTTCTCTATTCTAATTTGATCATTTTTTATTTTTCTTATGAATTCCCCTTGATCTTCTATTTTCCTTCTTTGATCCTTGATTATTGTTTCAATCCTCTCTTCCATCTCAGAGATTTTTTTTTCTATAGAATCATCTTTTGATTTTTTAAACAGGTACCCAGAAATATCCTGATGCATATCCAATATGTTTGTAAGCAATAAATTAAAATTTGATGATTCTGCTCTTTTTATGGCATTTATTGAATAACCATTTTCAGCTGATGTTACAAAGATCCCCATTGTTACGCTCTTCGGATACCTTGAAATCACCCTTCAAATGTATTGATCTCACTGACGCTGATTTTTAAGGTCAAATAATTTTTGCACTGGATCAATATTACATAATTCTTATAATTTCCAAAAATATATACACCACCATTTCCACATAAAATCCTACATGATAAATGTAAAAGATTTTATAAGCAAATATCATCATTATTGCCAAGGTAAATACCCAGGAGTTGAACACTGGTCGTTTATTCATGCATCCTATTCATCACAACTTCTGTGCGAAGCAAGATCTAGTTTTTGGATAATATATAAAACAGATAAGAACGTTCACAGGTGCAATTACTTAACTAATAACCCCTCACTGTAACCACAATGTGCTTTCAGTTCTCTGTCTATCATATCATCTTAGTGGCAGCGTAACTTCAGATACATAACAACTAAACAGTCGCTTAGTGAAACAAATATCTCACCTCACTCTTAGAAAATCAATATTCATACTCCTAAACACTCTAAAAACTTTAACCTCAAATTCATTTCCCCTGGCAACAGAAGAAATATCAGTAGAAGTAGCAGAAACAGAAGTAGCAGCAGAAGTAGAAGAATAAGTCATGACTTGTTTTAACATACCTAAATCGTTCTGAAATAAAAAATTATATCTAAAATTTTAGTAAAAAGACATGAGTTTTTTC